ACACACACACATATATATATATCAAGATTCCCATGTCTATTACTTTAGTACTTATAGATCTATAGAAAATTTAAAGATTTTTAATAATATACAACATAATTTTAAATGGCACAGTATAAATAGTAGATCATAAAGTAATACAAGACGATACAGCAGATAGTGCTCTACTTCTAAAAAATGAAATGTTTCAAAAAATAATTGTTTTATATCAAAATCCTCAAAAGGATCATTAATTCTCATTATCTGGAGAACAAATATTGTGAATCTTAACTGAAAGTATTTTTAATGATATATTATGCAATTATTCTGGAATGCTCATGTTATACAATATCTAAAATCCTTTTTAAAAGTAAGTTTGTGAAATATGCTAGCAAAGCATGTGGTAATAAGAAAAATATATACTCAGAGCCAGGGATTTAGCTCAGTGGTTCTGCTGCCTGCCTTACAAGCACAAAGTCCTGAGTTTGATCCCCAGTACCCTGCCAAAAAGAAAAAATTTATACTCACTTAAGAATATAATAAGGTACAAGGAGGATTATCCCTAGATGCACAAATGTTTCCCTCTAGAGAAGATAAGAATCACTGCTACTAACAACAAACCTAGGGCTAGGAGTGTTGGTCAGTGGTAAGCACTTGCCTAACATCTAGACTCTGGATTCTATCCCCAGCATCTCAAGAAAAGGAAAAAAAAGAAAATAGAGCCTACAACTATCAATATTTAAAATAATATTAAGAAGAACATGTTCTAGAGCAGGGCACGTGGCACCTGCCTGTAATCCCAGCACTCTGGGAGGCTGAGGCAGGAGAATCACAAATTTGATATCAGCTTGGGGAATTTACTGATTTGGCAAGACCCTATCTGAAAATAAAAAGGGGTGGGAGATGTAGCTCAGTATGAAGGCCCTGGGTTCAATCCCTAGTATGAGGTAGGGGTACTTCCTTACATAATGACTTTTTTGGGTTTTTTTGTTTTTTTTTTTCCTGAGACAGGGCCTCACTATATAGTTAAGATTGACCTGGAACTCACTGTGTAGCACAGGCTGGTCTCGAGCTCACAGTGATTCTCCTGCCTCAGCTTTCCGAGGCTGGGATTGCAGGTGTGCACCACCATGCCAAGCTATTCCTTAAAGAAGGGAAAATATCAATTTAATTTGCTACCATTTAAAAACTACTTCCAAATAAATGAAGCCGCTTTCAAGAAAACTTGCAGTTCAATGTACCACTTACACACTGAAGGCAAATCTTAACATTGTTTAAGGGAGATGATATTTTCATAAAACAATTATTCTGATCCAACTGGCAAGTAGACTTGCTTCTTCTTTACATAAAAAATTTAAGGGCTGCAGATGTAGCTCAGTGGCACGACACTTGCCTGGCAAGCACAAGGTTCTGAGTTCAATCCCCAGTACAAAAATAAAAAAGGGGCCAGGAATTTAGCTCAGTAGCACAGAGTCTGCCTCGCAAGTGCAAGGTCCT